TTATAAAAGAGAAAATATAGAAAATAAGAAATATTAATAAGAAGGAATTATTTAATTCTCTTTAACCCAGATTTCATATGAATTTTTTGTTTATCTAATTTTAAGCATCATGGATTGATTACTGCTAAAAGTAGCTGATACCAAGTTATTTTATATAAACTGATTTCCAAATAAAATAAAAACTGCAAAATCTGGAAATTATTTTTACACCTGAAGGAGAACTAAGAGTGAACACTGTATAATAACTCTTCTCAAATTATCTAATAACTGATAATTTACAACATATTATCCAAAAGAGAAAATAGTTTTACAGAAAAAAAAAAATCAGTACCACATAAAAAGTTAAATCTCAATATCCTTTTGTTATTGCTATTGTTAAGTGCCATAGAGTTGGTTCCGACCCATAGCGACCCTGAACAGGGTTTCCGAGGCTGTAATCTTTAAGGGAGCAGAAAGCTTCATCTTTCTCCCACAGAGCTGCTGGTAGTTTCAAACTGCTGAACTTGGCCGTTCGCATCCCGATTCGTAACCACTATGCTACCAGAGCTCCTTCAATATCCTTTTACTCTGCAGCAAATGAACAGGTGGAAATACTGAGTTTTTTTTAAAAAGCTTGAAGAGCTACAGGCAAATGAAGAACAGATGATCTGATTCTCCTTCCCTCCTTTATGGGGAGTAAAAACTGCCAAAGGTCATTTGAGATATTTATTATGTAGAATACTACTTATTTATAAAAGCAATTTGTAGAAAATGAAATGTCTTATATTTTTTAAAAAGACCTGCTATTGTTGAGGAGATCTGGCTATCATTATGTAGGACTTATGTATGAAATGAGTCAACATGAGACCCCTTGAGGTCTAAATTTAAATAATATTTCTACAATAGAGTTAAAGTTCAGAGGTCTTTAAAATGTAAACTTTTAAAAAATCATATAAAGAAAAAGAAGAGCTAACTTTAAAAATGCAGCAGAGTATAAAATTCATTGTTACCAAGTTATCTTGAAAAAGATTCATGTATGCTCTTTTAACCAAAAAAATTACTTATTAGTAAAATTTGTCTTTCTGTTTAACAATTATGAAACACTGAAGTGTTTAAGGATAAAGAATATCTAATTTCAATGCATTTCAGAAATATTAAAAAAGAGATCTGCTTCCTTGTCATCAAAGTCAGTAAATTTTTTCTTTATAAAAGTGTTAGCTTGGTCTTCAATGATCATGGAAGAGTTCAAATTCTTGCTATGTAAACAGTGTAAAATTACAAACTGAACTCAGATGTTTGTAATGCCACAAACCAAAGGACAACTAATTAATAGGAAAAATAAAACCAAAGGACAATTAATAGGCCTAATAATAAAGGCAGCGCCTTCAACTTAATTTGATACTTACCAATAATCCACAGTATAAGAAGATAGTCTATTCTTTCAAGAGCTGGCCCCATTGTGTTTTTCTTATCCTCATTGTAGACAAGAGAGTACAGGTTTAACAAAAGCAGAAATGTGAAATATGATGCTCCATGAATAATAAACTTCATAAAAGGTGTATGAATGATTCTGCCAAACTGAGATTTGGGAGCTATCAAATAACAGAGTGACAAAACAGGCCAAAAGATGCCAACTGTCAAAACGGTCATTATCTTCTTACAGGTGGGCTTACGTCGGTAACCTGACATCTGTCCAAACCAAACAGTATTCAGGAACTGCTGGCAGTTAGATTGAGAGACAAACTGAAAAGGACACACACACAAATGTAAAACAAAACCTTTAAAGATTAACTGATAAAGTCATTATTTAGTTGACAAAGTTCCATTAATAGCTTAAAAATCAATTTCTAGACATTTAACCTAGATCCTTTCTTTTCTTTTCCTTACAAATAATAAAAATAAAAGAATGTAGAGGTGAGAGAGCATCAACTCTGGAGCCAGCATACCTAAATTCAAAGTCAAAGTCTACACTTATTGAAAAACTTAAAGCAAGTTTTTAAACCTCTTGGAGCCTCAATTCAGAATCTGTAAAATGCGGATGATAACAGTAACTACTCACAAAGTTGTTTCAAGGATTAAATGTAATGCTCTTAGAATAGTGTCTGGCATATAGAAAGTACTATATAAGTATTAACAAATTATCATTAGCCTACTTAATCATTTTACCACATTTCATTTATAAAGGCTCTTATATTAATGTTTATGAAATTTCAAAGTTAACAATCACATTCATAGAAGGAAATGATTTTTTTACTAAGGTTACTTAGGATACTTATTACATAGTATAATAATAATACCTAAAACAATTTACTAATAAATGCTTAGATGTCTTTGGTCTAGAGAAACTACTGATTTTAGTTCAAAGAATCAATGTATCCAGATAGGAAAACAGCCAAAGTCAATATAATAGATATATTCATGCTCCAACAAAATACTGAAGATTTCTTAAATGTGTTAAAGATACTCCTAAACTTGCTTAAAACTGAATTTTGTAGGAGATTAAAAGGAAAAATATTCCCAAATAGAAGAAAAATTCTAGATCAAGCACATGAATTTGGTTATCAAAGTCTACAAAAGTGCTTTAGTTTATAAATTTCAAAGGCAAAATTATCCAACTATAATGGCAATCTTGTGAAGTATTATTTAAGGCTCTTGATAACTCTGGATACAAGAATATTCACCAGATTTGAAATTACCAAAGTAATGTAGAAAATCCAGTAATCCAAGATAATTTTGGACAACCTTCTGTTTCAAAAAGGATCTATCCTAAAATAGAACATAATTTGTAAAATGCAACACTGTAGTAGAAAAAGCATTGACTGGACAGAATTAATTTTGTTCTTTACTGTGTTGTTTATCAAGGAATTTCCTGATATATCATAATTATTTTTGGCAATTACAGTCTTATTTCATTCTTTATTCTTGTGCTCAGATTCCAATGTTCACAAGGAATCTTAATCTGTACCTCAAGGTACCTGTCAGAGCAACAGTATTTCCTCCCACCAAGTACCCAGTTTAGTGGAATCCTGAACTTAGCTTCTCTCTTCCCTCAAGTAGGAAAACAATCCCAGAACTGATTATTATCCCTGCCATCCCTTTATATAGTGATGGTTTAGTTACTAGCAATGTTAAACATGCATTTTGAAGAACAAAATTTTGACTGGAAATGTTTTAAGTCTGTGTTGTTGTTATTTTGATGTGCCGTGGAGTCGGTTCCGACTCATAGAGACCCTGTACAGGGCTTCCAAGGCTATAAATCTTTACAGGAGCAGAAAGCCTCATCTTTCTCCCACAGAACAGCTGGTAGTTTCAAACTGCTGACCATAAAGTTCACAGCCTGATTGATAACCACTACGCTACCAGAGCTCCTTTTTTAAGTCTGTAATTGCTTTAAAATATGACCACAAATTCTTTGATAGCCCTCTCATCAAAAGATGTGGTAAATATTCCCTCTTCTTAAATTTGATAGCCTTGTGATTGCTTTAACCAATAGCTACTACAGGAAGCTGTATAATTTCTAAAGCTAGGTCTTGAAAGGCTATGCAGTGTTCACTGGAACACTTTCTTGAAGCCAGGAACAGCCATGTAAAATGTCCTACTATCCTGAAGCCACCATGCTTTGAAGAAGCCTAAGCTACGTAAGAGAAGGCATTAAAAGATAATGGAATTTTTCTACAAACTTTTGAAGTCTCCTTGTATAGGCTCGCCAGTCAACAAATCCAGGGGCCAAACATGTGAGGACATTTCCACAGGATTCTAGCCCCCAGTTACATGATTATCTCCAGCTGATCCCTCAGATATGGTGGCATAGAGATAAATCATCCTACAGTATTCCTTTCCTAAGTCTGGACTCAAAGAATCCTGAGCATAATAAAATTGTTGTTTTATGCCACTAAATTTGGGAGCAGTTTTATATTTGGCAATGGACAATCTGAACAAAATCTACCAGCTACCTAGGAGAATACCATTATCTTCCTCTTTAATTACATCTAGAAGTCTAGTCAAAAAGTTAATTTATATATTCAATCATCCTTAAAATTATAAAGTGAAGAGCTCTTGGGGCCCATCGCTTTTTTCACTGATGATAGTTCCTCCAGCAGAACCATTCCCAGGAGATTAGATTAGATTAGAGCTTTTAAAAACATTACCATTCTATCATCTTATAAGGGCTTCACCTTCATAAGTCTTCCTTTCAACTAACAAATATCACTATTACTTTTTGCTTCTTTGTCTTCCATCTTCTTTAAATTGGGCATTTTATTATCCTCTGTGAGTTCTTCAGGGATATAGATATCATTAGGGAATGGTCTCTTAGAATTTTTTTTCTTCCTAATCAAGATAATTCTGGACATTTCTTTATTTTAGGTTCTTTCCCCAAAAATTTAAGTTGACTTTGTACCTTGTATTCCTGTACTATATAATTTTAATAGTATTTCATGTCCATTTTGGTTGTAGAACAAAGAAATGTATTAACCTAAGAGCAAGTAAAATGCATGATTGAGGAAAATTACATCAAGGTTCCTATATTCTCTGTTTCTGTTAATAGAATTTCCTCTCTAATCCACACAGGTTATGTTGTTGATTTAAAATTTTATAATCACAATAATCCAAATTCTTGAACTTAATTTTTTCTTGTTTGTGGCAATCAAGAACCCTGGAATAGGAGTAAACTTACAGGATTTGAAGCCAGAGAACTGGATAAGTAATACACTTTCTAGGTAACTGTCAACTAAAGACCTTAAAAATCTTTCCTGTCACAAAACTCTCATGAAACTGAAAATTTCAACCAAGACCAAAGGTCCTGTATCTTGTCTTCTACGATTACTTATTTAAGGTCCCATTTTTAATATTCATATAAATTTAAGAAGCAAGCTTTATTTCAACATCAATGTTAATAATGGATTTTAGAAGCAATACTTCAAAAGCACCATTGATCAACACCCCATACTATTAACTGGATATCATCTACCAATAAATACTCATGTTTAGTAAAGTAGCTCAAAAAGTTAAATTTAAAGTGCATACCTTCCTTCTTCAAGCTCCTGAATCATGTGCATGTGTGTGTATGGGGAGTAGAAATGGGTATTTCCCTGAATAGGAAGGGATGATGCCAGAAGAGCCAGATTCAAATTAGTTATATCATTCGCCTCTCCACCTTTGGGTTTCACAATGAATTAACAAATAAGAAGAATCAGGATCTATAATACTGGATACTTCATTTTCAAATAGAAAGGGGCTATTACTATGGGAGGGGTTATTTATAACCAGATCAAGAAAATAAACCCATGACAGCAAAACAAAAAATGGAAACTTCATTATACAGACACTTAGTATTAAGCAAAAATATCAAATCAACATTGATATTATTATAGTTAATAGTTAAAAATAATAGCACCGATTATTTATTGACTACTTGCCTAAAGCTAGTACTTACTGTGCTAACAACCCCTTTAAATATATATTCTTAATTAATTCTTAAAAATGAAAGCCCAGACAGATCCAATAACTTCCCCAAGGGCACATAGTTTGTAGGAAGCTGAACCAGAATCTCCACCCAGATAAATTACTCCAATGCCTTTCCTCATAGACACTAGACTACTGTGGAGGAAACCATTTAAACATATTACAGAAAGCCTCATACCTCCTTTTGATTATATTTTATAGCAAGTTTTAGACGACTTAAATTCATTCTTTCTTCAAGTAATCCCCGTTTGTCAAGTGGCTCATCACTAGATGTATGGTTTAGGATCACCTCCAATTCACGTGAATTCCGGGCTTGTGCAAGCAAATCTTTAGCAAACATTTTACATTGCCGAGCTAGTTCCTCATAGTCATTCCTACAAAATGCAACAGTCTATTATTAGAATATCATTGCTACCTTCTAAATAAGCTATATTAATTGGAACTTTTTATCAGTAACATTTTAATTCTGAAGCTACACAAAATCTGAAGTCATTTTGGGCTTACATAGTCGGAAGAACCATTTGGTACATAACTTCTCCACAGCTTTGTGGAAAATAATAATACAACTATGTTCCCTGTGTACATACTTATAAGTACACTTATATTGCTATCAGTTTGAGAATTTGTCAGTCAATTCTCTTAGTGAATTTGTTCTTATCTTCTGTAAAGTGTGTATACAATTTTCTTTATAATATTCATCCAAATAATAGGAATATTCTAATGTTACCCAATGACTACTATACAATTTTTTAAAACTAGGGACTTTGTCAGAAATAGTCTACAACATATTTATGATAATTCTGATGTTAAAACAATATTCCGATACATTTTTAAAGTACTCATTTGAATGGAATTCAGGTTAAAAAGAAACTTAATACAAGCCTCAAGTGTTTGTTAAAGGTGGTTGCTATTGTTAAGTACCATGAAGTGGGTTCCGACTCAGGTAGGCGTATGTTAACGTAGTTCCTAATCTTTTTAAAAACATCATTTTATATAATTTATGAGTAAGTTTAATAACAATTTAAGAATACAGTTAGAAATAAGTAATTATCAGTCATGGACTTGGAATCAAACTGCAGAAAATAATTTTTTATTCCATTTTTGGTGTTTCATGAGAAAGGAAGGAAAAACAGGAAGATTTCCCCATTGGCTAGTTTTGCTTTATAATGAGACTTTTCATGGACTAGCTGAATAAAATTACAATTCAAAGAATAAAAACTTCTTTTCCTTCCAGGCTAACATTTTTTTCATTCTTTGTTACTTACTACCTAACCAAAGTTACCTGAAAATGAGTAGTTAGATTTCTTTAACAAATGAAATATTACCTTCTTAGTTTAGGAATCCAACTGCAGATAGGAATATTCATCAAAATGTATTTTACCACAAAAATATCTCATCTCTAAATAAACATTTGCTACACCACTAGATTCAGAGGTAAAATTAATACATATTGTTAGTAGGCTTGAAGTCGTATATTTTAGTTCTAACTGCTACTACTATTTCCACTCTTTCCAGCTTTAATCTCTGTTGTTCCTAAGTAGATGTTGAAATTAATTAGATATCTAAACTTTATGCATGTTTCCCTGCCTTTAAAAATAAAGAATTCTATAAAAATAATGGGGTTTATGATATAGTCACAAATTTAAAAAGCTACAAACAGATAACTTAAATCTAGGCAAAAAAACCTGTTAACTTCCAATTTCCCTTCCAGTAAGTGGAAGTCTAAATGTGTCCAATCTTGTCAAGTCACTGGAAGGGTACCATGCAACGCATGGGGCTCCACAGGATCTGGACATGACTAGAAAGGTAAGAATGGCATATACTAAGCCTCTAGAAACATTGCAGTAGGAGTTGGCAGAAATCTTGATGAACTCCTCCTTCAGATGATAATCTCCTGTAATGGGAAGTCTCCCCTTCAAGTTCACTGAACAAAATTCTCTAAGGAATTTTTTTTTTTTCAATCAAGCTACTTTTTCCTACTTCCCTCTCCCTCCACACACACACTTAACCCTCTTAAGGAACATTTAAACTAAAGGTTTTTTGGTTATGGGAAGCACAGGAATTATGCTTAATTTTCATTTCAGAAGAAATATTATATACTAATCATTCTTAATCAGTAGTATTTTATATTTAGATTTACATGTATGTTCCCCTCAACAGAAACATTTTACTTACCAGTGAAAGGGGACTATGGCTCTGTGTGTGGAACACCCCAGACATGAATAAAACACTTAATATGCTTTTGAAAGAGCTGAAGTATCAAGCTCCAAGATAATTGTAGAATCTGGAAATAAGAGGAGGTGGAACAAAGAGGAACAGTGGCAAATAAATTTGCTCTTGCTTAGATTGCCATTTCTACTACCCTGCATATTGCCCTGGGATGCCCTTAGATAAACTGATAACAGGCGAAATTAGGGGTAATGAAAAAAAACCCCACCTACACATCACCATAGTCTGTTCCTTTGAAAAAGTAAAAAATCAAGTGATGGTAGCAAGGAGAAACAAGTGCTGGTTATCTTGAATCGAATGTAAGTAAATAAGAATATTTTTTTACTTGGCCTATGAAGAAAATTCAGGCTGAAAGGGTTATCAAGGACACACACAAAAAGACATTATATAATTCAGGGGAACAAACAAGATGGCAGATCAGGTGGA